CAGCAGTCTTGTTTATTTGCTTTATAGGAAGTAGAAGTAAGTTCAAAACAGTTTCCCAAAACTCAACCTTTCAAAACCCAGAGAACACTGGACTTCAAAACGGTGAAATATAAGCTAACTGTGGGAAAAAATTTAGTATTGCTTCTTTGTCCTCTTGATCCTGAACAGCTTTAGGTTTTTGTAAGATGGAAATAACTTACAAAACAAACAAACAAAATAAACCAACACAACCACCAACAAAAACCACATACGGCTCACATATTGTGTAAAGATAATTACGTAATAAATTCATGTGATATTGGATCATTCATGCCTTTTAAGACAGACCAAAGTGAGTTTACTTGTATGAGGACGATTTGGAAGACAGTGAAAAGAAAAGAAATTGCTTGCTGCAAGGCAGATAGAAGAGCGATCTTTGTTGCCCACTGCACAAGACTTCTTTGTAAAAGGCAGTTCAGTGCAGATGGAAGACATTAAACTTTCCAGTTCAGGAGGTACTGTACACTAACTTTTTCTGAACAATCCTACTCCCCCAATGACAATATGTGTATGGGCACTACCTTACTTATATGTTCGTAATTATAAAGAAGGTTGAGCCTAACCAAAAAAGTTTATATTCCTATAATCACCAAAGAATTTTCTCAGGGAATTCCACTGAGATCAACAGAATTGCTTAGCTGCAAAAAAAAAAAAAAAAAAAAAAATGCCTCTGTGATTCAGGCTTTGGGAAGCCTTCACTGGTATATAAACCCTACGTACCTATGATACTAAATATGCTGGATACAAATACTGGTAGGATGTTTAAGTGGCAAGGACACTGAACTGGGACATCACCAAACAGTCCTGATGACCTCTCTTATCTTCCCATAATGACCTTGCCTGCTTTTCCAATTTAAGTAATTCTGGGAAAAGCTGTCTTTCATTGTCTATGCATGCAGTTAGGGTCCCAGTCTATGGTGTGGCTTCTAGAGGCTCTTATAATAGAGACAATAATAATATTGAGCTCTTAATTTGAGGAACAATCCTGTGGAAGCAAAGACTAGCTCTTACTTAGGCTTTTAACAGGTGGAAAATACTCCTCTGAAGGGTCTGTGAACATAGTGCTTAACTTTAAATAAACGTCGATGCTTCTAATAGCTAAGTATCATTGCCCTGAGACAGCAGGTTTTGATTCAGTTCTGTATATTCCTTACAGTTATTTGCCCCCTAGTTGTGCTTGTTTTCTTTTGAAGAATAATTAAGATTTAATGGCTTTTTTTTTGTTGTTGTTTTTTTTTTTTTTTTTTCCTCCTGCTTGCTTTCTTGTTGCCTACTGTGCTGATTGCTTGTATCTGATCCTGGTCATTACAAGAACTGTAAGGTAATTGCTTATCTGGTGACTCATTAATGAAGGTCCCCCGAGAGACGAGAAGCTGTTCTTTTGAAGTTCATCATGTTTGCTGTTGGCCTTCTAGTTTAATCTATACATTCAGGACATCTTACTCAATTACTGGAAACTCCATTTTTTCTAATGATATAGATACCTTGTAAACAAATACCTTTATCTCTGCTAACAACATGGCTTACCTCTGATAAATCAAAGCATTATACACACAGACACTCTTTTCATCTTTGAAAAGCCAGAATGGTTCAGAAAAAGAAAACCAAAACATTCTGGTACAAACAGGTGTTTTGGATCATGGAATTACCTCCAAAATACATAATTTCATACATCTCAAATTCAGCAACATATTGCAACAAAAAACTCTGTTCATGAAAGCATATTTTCCAACTCTCAGAAGCTGATTATTTATTTATTTATTTCTTTGTTTAACACAGCTTTGTAAGACAAAGAATTACATTTTAGAATTTCCTGTGAAATGTGTTTGACACTTCTTAAAAATTATCACAATGCTTGGAACAAAGTCAACCAAAAGCTTTCAGCTATTTATTTCCAGGCATCTTATCTGCTCTTGCAGGCAATCTGCAACTTGTGCTTTAACTCCTCCCCAGCCCACTGTGACCTGGGAATGAGAACTCCCAGATGCTCACCTCTGACTTCCTGGGCTTATATAGCCCAGCAATATTAACGTACAATGTCTCCAGAACATCTTAGCAGTTACCTGGTGAATGTATGTTTGAGAGACCTATTCGTGTTTTACCAGAAGTTTATCAAGATCTTTTCCAACACATTGTGGTTTTGACAAATGAACCTGACAGGGGAAAGACTGCTTCAACAGAACATTCCTGTGACTGTAGCACTGGAAATACTCAGTTCAGACAATTAGATTTTTGTTTTGTTGGTTTGCATGTTAAACCACATTAGGGTAGCTTTCTTCCAGCAGTGAAGGGCACACTGAAGGTGATTAACTGCTTTGTTTTTGCTATCCATGTAATTTACTCAATTGTTTTTCTGAAGTTGTGCTGTCCTTACAAGACAGCTGTCAGCCTGCATGGGTGGTCCATTATTTGTATTCACAAGTCTGTTTCATTGTCTCTGTTTCTCTATATGTAATTTAATAGGAAAGGAAAGAGCTGTGAGCAAAGCAAGTCTCCAGAACAAGAACTCTGAAAGTGAGGGAAAGGAGGAACTCTCATTGCCAACTGACACAAACATGTGCTAGAAGTCCCACCAGGACTTTAAAGATCCGTGCAAAAAGTCAGTTTCTCTGACTGCCTAAGGAGAACATCAGGGAATGATGAATCCCTCACGATCTAAGGCTTGATGAGGGGGGTGAAGGAGCACAACAGCGTTAGTGTAAAATTAAGCTGGCAGAAGTTAAAGACAAGTTTTACATAAAAGCAATTATAAACAGATACAAATGGGGAGACCTTAACAACTCCATGACAACTTAATTAGCCCAAAGTACCTGATGATGATACTTCAACCTCTTGGGCACCTGTACTACTACCTATTTACATACAGTCAGATATTCTGCAGAGCACCACTCTAACAGTTCTCATCAGCACAAGAAATCAGATTTAAAAATTCAAACAGTTCTGTTTTGTGTACAGTCATTGCTATGCTGGATATTCCAGTTTACTAAAATGAGAACTCAGAACCTTTTTTTTTTTTTATTTTATTTTTTCATAACTGTTTAAGGAATCATGGGAAAGGCAACAGTACAAATGAAAATATTCCCTAACACTTAACATCACTTGTCTTAGCAACAATATAGGGTGTTTTTTTTTTTGCCCCACTGGTGGATGAAAGTAAAGTTCACATTACCCTCTCTCCTGCTGAAAGCAAAAAGAAGCAGCTAATAGATGTGGTTGCAATTACATTGTCACCCAGCGACTGTTACATGTTTGTTTCTTTGCACACTATCACAGAGTTTGGATTTAACTTGTTTAATCTCTCTCCCTGTGGAGAGATACAGCATTTCATACCTCTTGAAATGCCATCACCAAACTGAAGAGATCCCTGGATGGTAGCACCAGTGTATTCCTGGCTCTGTGGACTTTGAATAAAGATGCACAATTGAACAATATTTCTGCAACTGGAAAACCACGTTTCAAAATATTTTAAAAACAAATGTTGACCATGAAAAATCCATGCTGCCAAAGACTTGATAGTCCTTCTTACTCAAGAGATCGAAACACGTATCTAAGATACATAGTAGAGAAAAATATTTATTTTTATTTAATTGAACCAGTAACAAATCTTACCCCCTGTACATTATACATGTATATATATATATATATATAATAGTAAGAAAACTATTAATCCTCTTTCAGAGAAGTTTAATTACAGCAGGTTCATTTGTGACATAAAACTGTACTATGCATTTGTTGTAAACTATTTCAGTAGCAAGGCGATGGAATTATTTATTGTCTCTTTTACGTATTAACATGGTAATTTGTTGTTTTAAAACATTCATATTTTAACCAGCTGCCAATCACATGTTTTTCTAACTTCTTTACTTACATTTTATATGAAATGATTGAGAAATGTTTGGAGTTTTACTTACGAGCTGATTAAAATAAGCACTATTTGAAAGAGAATTACTAGGGCATCAGGAATCTATTAAATGAGCTGGAAAAATCCTGCAGAGTATAATATATGCATGCGATTAAGAGCTCTACACTGATAGGGTTTCCTTTCCTACCGTCTATTATATATTAAAGGCATTAGAAAAGTTGCATCAATTAAGAAGCTAGGCCTGAATATAAAAGTACTCAGTTTTTCAGGGACAGCCCAAATAAAGGACAATGTGAAATGTCAGGCTCACTTTGTATAACCTTCCTCATGAACAAAACCTAATGATTTGCACAAATTTTCTTGACAAATCTTTTGAAAGCTATTCAACGAGCATCCTGTAGAATTGCCACCAATTTGTATAAAGAATCATTTTAAGATTTGTTGAAGAATTTCTTGTGCCTTGTCATATTTATCAGTCCACTTAGACTAGGCATTACCACTGGCCTTTATTGCAGAGGCCTCAAATACATTTTTGGACAAATGAACACATTCAAATTTGACAGTTAAACTACCAAAACTCAGGTAAATTTTCCTTGCCACTTGTATAGATGAATTAATTTTATGCAATGTATTTTTTCATAAAATACAGGGAGTAATCCAATACAATCCACTATCCAAAGTTGCACAACTTTTCATCAAGTATTTGAAATCCACACAGTTAAACAAAATTTGTCTATCGCCCAATTTTGATCTCACATGTCTTAAATATTTTACAATGTTAAGTTTCAGGATTACCGATACTTACTGATTTCATGTATTAATTTTTTTTTCAGGGTGAAAGTAACGTCATGTTAGCTGGGGATCAGACTCAAATAGACTTTGATGGAGAAGCCTACAAACTGGTGATAAGTTAAGGGTTTTGTCACACACTTGTATTTGCAGCCTTGTAATACCAACCATTCCTTCATTGACCCTTCTCCCCTGAATGTGTCCTGTGTAAAACACATCTCTCCCAAATTAATGTAAGAAATGTAAGAAATACTCCCCCCCCAATATCTCCTGCCTCTCTTCACCTCTGCTAGTCGTATTCTTTTAATACCTGTTTTGCTCCAGCTGAACTTCACCTTCACAGAAAAGATGCTGCACTGCAAAGTGTCATACACAACATGGGGTGGGTCACTTCTTAACATGTCATCTGGTCACCTCTTCCATCCAGCATCTGACTTTTTCTCCAAAAAGTAAGCCTTAGGAACACAAACACAGTCTTTGCATGAGGTTTTGTCCAATAAACAAAACATTAAATTCCGAAGAAACTTACACTAAGATCATCTTTCCAATTATTAATCACAGCATGCTGAAGAAATGTAAAAGCAGATTTAATTGAGGCACATTTATCAGAGCAACTCTAATAATAAATTATTCTACTAAGATAATTTTGTATATATTTAGTTTGTTCTGAATGAAAATATCTCTACCCCATTCATTCTTACATTATTCTACATCTAGTGAAACTGACATTAAGTAAAAAAAATAAATATAAAGCCAATCACGCAGCTTTTTTTATCGCTAACGAACAATAGCCATTTACAGACTCTCGTATCACTAAAGCACTAACATCATCCAAGTTCATAGATATTGCAATTAAGATTACATAATGAGAAGGCTGAAAACTGCTCCTGGTGGCTTCTTGTTTAAATAGGTAGTGAGAAACAAATTATTTGGGAACTACACAGGAGGTTATGGTACATGATTTTGTAGATCTGATTTTTTTTTTTTCTTTCTTTCTTTCTTTTTCTTTTTTTTTTTTTTTTTTTTCCTGAGGCTGCAGTTAAACTAGGCTATGAAAACATTAAATAACAAATATTTGTGCAAACAAAATTCACAGTTTACGAATGTTATGTATGGCTTGAAATTTACTCTGTTTAACATGTATTAATATATGCAAAACTACTGTTCATTTGCTCATGTGTATCAAAACTCATGCCCATGCTGGAATTAATCAAGGTGTTGCCATTATATTAATCAGCATACAGCCTTCAGACAACAAGTAAAACTTGCATTAAAATAAATTGTGATTGAAACACGATGAGATTTTTTTTTGGTTTCATGATGTGCCCTAATAACCTTTACATTTTTGATGTGAAGAGATGATCATTTGATATCTACACCAGAATACAGTTTGCCCAAGGAGGCTGGGATGTGGCCTGTTTCACTACCAGGTCTTCTAAGGATGTTGAGTACTCTTATCTTAGTGTTATTATAACATCAAGAAGGAAGTGTTTCTAAGGTTAGAATCAGGTGGAAACCAAAGCACTGTTGATGATTTGGTCACGTTTGCTATTTTCACATTCCAGTATGAGATTATTTTTGTCCAGATCCTAAGGGTAAGATCTAGGGGAAGATTTGTTATCTATTCTTACAGTACATAGATGTTTAATGAGTACTTGATGATTCATCTAGAATATAAAATTTCAGCTGAGATCCTGGTGTTATTATTCAAGCCCATTTCACAGTCAGACAGCTCCCACTCTTCTATAAAGTATTTTTTCACTCTGTGAAAAACAAGGCCTTGGAGGCAAGTCAGGAGCAACACAATGGCATATTGAATTTACTGGCTTTATCTTGAACAATATGGCAGAAATATTTCAGTGATGCAAGATCTAATCTATAAATAACACGGAAACACAGTAAAAGACTGTGCTGGCAGATTGTTGCAATCCCCAGTGGTTTGAATGGTAGTTTCCTAGACAGAATTCCTAAAGGGTTACAGTTTTAAGTGGAGGTGAACCAAATAAAAATAAAAACAGGGAATCTGAAGTGTCACTGTGTAAAGAAATCATCTGATAATGCAAAGGGTCAACATTCAGTCTCTGTTCAGCTTTTCACAATTTCAAATCTTTGAATATCTTAAAAGAAATTAATTTTGTCTGCTTTTCTCTCCCCCTCTTTTTTTTTTTTTTTAATTATTATTTTTTTTAAGGGGAGTGCATTGCAAGCATTTCACATGGCATTTTCACTTCAAGCCAGCAGCAGGAAAATACAAGCACTGTGCAAAAGAGTAGCCCAAAATGAAGAGAGCCAAATGAGCCATCACAGCATGAAATTCCCCATTCTCCTCCCCAATCTGTTGATCATGATTTTCTAACTTCTCGTCTTGCTCTGCTTTGCTTGGCAGCTGCTGCAAAAATTCTTTGCCCTAGCCAAAAGTTTAAGCTAAGAGGTTCTTTTCAGCACTGCTGCCAGAGCAGCTCCATAGAGCCCTGCTCAGAGAGGGTACAAGCTGTGGAGCTGGCACCTTGCTGCAGCCTGTCAGTCTTGGCAGCATGAGTCCTCTCCTCAGCTTGGACAAGTACTTGAGGGCCTGACACAGCAGGGCCTAAGGTAGCTGTGTGTACATGCAGCTCTGAACGCAGCTTACTATTGAGAAAAGCTGGAGAGGGAAAAAAAAAATATATATATATATATGTATATATATATATATATATACATACATATATATACACTATATGTATATATACATACTATATACATACTATATATATACAAAAATATATACATAATATATATATGTATATATATGTACATATATATATATATACACTATATGTATATATATATACTATATATATACTCTCTCTATATATATACAAAAATATATATATACATATATATATATATATATATATTTATTTATTTTTTTTTTTTCCCCCACATCAACCCCTTCCTTTATATCAAGAAAAGCAAACCTGGCAGCTTCAACTATCTAGAAGCCAAGCAAGCTGTGTTAACAACCATATAGGATTGAATATCACAGCTACTTTATAATTGTAAAAAAAAAAAAAAAAAAAAAAAGTTGTGCAATTGTACAATCACAACAACAGCAGCTCTTGCATAACAGGCTAGAACTGTCACTTTGCTCTCCTTTCTATAACATCACAGTGACATAAAATAAACAGAGTCCCTGAATCAGAGCCCAGATTGCATTCAGTTGAAATCACTCCAAGTTTAAACATTTGACCCAGAATTCTGATGCAAAGCTTGTTTCCAATAGGGGTACAAAGGAGGTAAATTAACAGATTAGATTAATAAAATAAAAAGTGCACAAGGAGTTCAAGAAGATGAAGCTGTTTGTTGTCAGCTTTTTGCCAAGACCCAGCTCTGAGCTGTTTCTGTCCTGGTTCAGGTGCCATTAGTGATCAAGAGTTTCTGTCAAACTCAGCTGCCCTCTTACACCCCACACACACACTGTCCCTGCTGGTCTTTAAAGTACACTCAATTCACTAAGGTAAATCCTGTCTGCTTAAGACATACTCAGACTTTCAAATCAAACTAATTGGCAGCAAGTACAACATGTGCCTTAATCGTAACTGCAAACACCCTGTGACTGTACCAAATCCTTTCTGAAGAGGAGACTGCTATTTTTGTAAGGCTCTGAAAAGTAACTATTTAAAAAGGAAAAAGAAAAAAAAAAAAAAAAAAGCTACCTTAGGGCATTTCATGGCACCACTTTCAAAGGTCAAAGAATCCAGATAAATAACATTACCACAGTAATCTTTTATGATCTGTTCTTTCTGTTTTAGAAATATATATTACCATATTTATTTTGTAACCATGATTTGTTCTTTTTCACCAGTCTTCACCTTTAGTAAAGTCTTGTTTAACCAGCACCTATCACTACTTATTTTGTGTTCTAATATATACAAGAAAAACAAGTTATTTAATGATTTTTTAGATTTATTTATTTTTTTTAGTATTCATAATTAAAAGAATGGTACCTGATTTGAGCTGACAGTTATCACCCAAACATGTCACTTTGCCAATTGAAAAGTATTTTCCCTAATGCAACAAACTAGGCTGTACAGCATCAGAAAGCACAAATTTAAGGGACAGAAAGAAGTTAATAGTCTCTCCCTGAAAGAAGCTTAAATCAGCCCCCACATGTAGCACTTGCAAAAGGTCTGGCCCTGATTCTTCTAGCCATTAACAATCAGGAGGGAACAAGGTGCAGGAGGGGAGCACACTGCACACACAGCTGCTCTGCCTGGGGCAAGAGCTATCCCAAGAGACTTAAGTCACCAGGGAACTTTTTTCATCATTTCCCACCACTGTCAATGCTGATTCAGCTTCACTGATGTTAGAAGCATTGAAAGCAGGGCAAAGTCAGGCTCTCACTGGCAATTCAAACATCTCTTTGATTTAGACCTATTTTGAGCTACATGGAATGAAGCTAGTGAATCATTTATGCAAAGATCTCCAAATTTAATGGCACTAGAAATGCTGCACAACTTTTTTTTTTTTTTTGCAGAGACAGGTGAGACTCCTCAGGAGACAATGAGCAGAAGCATCAGATAACCAAAGTCAGTGTTGAGAGCACGTTGTCCCCCACCAGGTAACAAACCTGGGTCAAGACTCTGGTGACAACAGATTGTCTAGAAGAACTGCAATGATGGTTGTGCTTATTTTGAATGACAGCCTGCTCGTCCAAGGAGGCTGTTAACCAAGCAGATGTATTACAGCTGAAGCATCTGTCCCTGCTTTTATAACTGGACTCCTTCATATGCCTGAGTGCTGGCTTGTTAACTTATCATCTTTGAAAGGAAGAAGGAATTATTTACAGCAGAAAGAGATCACTGCACCTCAGTACAAGCAACAGGCATGCCAGGCTCAGAGCAGAATCTGAATGGAAGGAGAGGGAGAATGAGAATCACAGAATGGTTTAGTCATTGTGGTTTAACCTGGCAGGCAGCTTGGCACCACACAGCCCTTCATTAACCAGCTCCCAGTGGGATGAGAGAACTGAAAAAAAAAAAAGAAAGAAAAAAAAAAAGTGTGAGAACTGATGTGGGTTGAAATTACAGTTTAATAAGAAAAAGGTGGGGAAATGGAAGAGAAAAAAACAGGTGATGCACAGTGAAATTGCTCACTGTTCACCAACTGATGATGATGCCCAGCCAGTCCTCAAGCAGCAGCAGCCCCTCGTCAGCTGCCCCAGTGCCATGGCTGAGCATGGCACCCCAAGGTCTGGCATGTCCCTGGGACCAGCAGAGCTCAGCTGGCCTGGCTGTGTCCCCCCTGCTTCTTGGGCACCCCTAGCCTCCTCACTGGCCAGGCAGCGTCAGGAGTTGGAAAGTCCTTGACTTAGTGAAAGCATTGCTCAGCAACAACTAAAACATTGGTGTGTTATCAACATTATTTCCAACCTACGTCCAAAACCCAGCACCATACCAGCTACTAGGATGAAAAC